TGTCGCATTGTCCCAAGCAGTTTATATCACCCACTATCTGTTACAACTGTGTCGCATTGTCCTTAGCAGTTTATATCACCCACTATCTGTTACAACTGTCGCATTGTCCTAAGCAGTTTATATCACCCACTATCTGTTACAACTGTGTCGCATTGTCCTTAGCAGTTTATATCACCCACTATCTGTTACAACTGTGCCGCATTGTCCTAAGCAGTTTATATGACTCACTATCTGTTACAACTGTCGCATTGTCCTAAGCAGTTTATATGACCCACTATCTGTTACAACTGTCGCATTGTCCTTAGCAGTTTATGTGACCCACTATCTGTTACAACTGTCGCATTGTCCTAAGCAGTTTATATGACCCATTATCTGTTACAACTGTCGCATTGTCCTAAGCAGTTTATATGGCTTACTATCTGTTACAACTGTCGCATTGTCCCAAGCAGTTTATATGACCCACTATCTGTTACAACTGTCGCATTTAGTTAATGGTTTTAGTTCTTTGTGTAGTGCAGGTTTAAAAAAAAAGACTCGCACATCTTGATTGTTACCCTGTAACAGCAATAATATAACAGGAAATGATGCTAAGTAAACCAAACTTTATTTACAAAACCAACAAATGTCATTATACATGTAAACTACACAGCAAAGATCTCTCTCTTTCTCCTCTTTTTACTGAAGGAAAAAAAAAGATTGTTGTTTTTAAAAAGATGTACAAAACTTACAGCCGCCATCAAAATGATACATCGAGCAACAACATCCACAGGATTCTGAAAAGTGAAAAACACTCTTTTGTTCACATATAGCTGAAAAGTATGATATGAAATAAGGTAATAGGAATAGGTTTGGTTTAGGAGTACTAACAGTTTCTACACCTTTACTTTATAAGTGGACAAAGGAAGACTCAAATTTGTAGACCCTGATGTGGAACTTGATCATTTATCCTGATATATTTGTTAAAATATATTTATTTGTTCACATTCCCTGATGCAACAAATGAAATAAGACAATGGTAAAAATAATTATATTTTTCATGGGTACATAAGCATTTTATATCTTTATAATATGTCTGATAAACAACTGGAAGTGAAAGAAACCAAGTATTTTATGAGACAATACATAAACGGTACGGCTCTGTACTTTTAATTAATTTAAATACGTTTCAATGTACTTTTACATAAAACATAGAGCAAAAACTAGAACACCTGTAGACCAAAAACCAGTTTAAAATTAGGTATTAAAGAACTTTATTATATCATACTTTTATTTTCATATGAACTGAAAATTTGTATGTTTTTTGTATTCTCAGTAAATAGTATATAAAACAAATTTAGGATTTAACTTTATAGGCAACTTATGTGTTAAAAAATTAAGAACACAACAATAGAGAGCAGTTTTACTTTATACACATACAAACGGATATAAACCATATCTACACGTCCGCACAGTTCTGAAACGTAAAAAACGTTGTTTTTTTTTGTCACATATACCCTGAAAGTATAATCAGAAATAAGTTTGTTTGTACCAAAGTGACGATCACCTTTCTTCTATAGTATACAAAACATTTAAAAAAGTCCTAAGAATGTATCAAATTTCTGTATCGTGGCATAAAATTTAATTTCTTAGAAAAAATAATCACATTTTGAGATTAAACAGGAGAGATAAAAATATTTTCTTTCATTAATAAATCAATTGAACTAACAAGTTTGGTAATCCATATTTAACGAAATTACCCATTAAGCACAAAGCAAGGACACTAAAATGTAGCATCTGAGTCTCATTGCTATTAATACATTGAACACTGGTATATTCATATATCTTCAAATTTTTGTATAAAAACAGTTTGATTATATTATTATTAAAAGATACAAAACATAAAAACTATACTTAAAATTATTTCCATTACAAAAGGTTCTCAATTGTTGTTGTTGTTTTTTTTGCTACAACAAAAGCTCTTTAGAATTTCTGCTAGCTTCTACAGTGACGTCTCACTTCCAGAAGGTGGCAGTGTGTTCTGTCCACTATCTGTACCTTCTAGCATAGTGATTCGTTGTTTTAACAATCTTGTCTGGAATGAAAATGTTACTTTTTTTAAAACCTGTACAGTATGGCTAACATACTTGCAATAGTTTTGCTTACACTCTTGACAGCATAAGTTTAGTTAGGAAATATTCATTGGATATGAATTATTAGTAGAACATAGACCTCATAAAGTAATAATTCTGAAAGTATTTCCTCATATATTTAAAACTTTGTTATAAATACTTATTCAAATGCACCCGCCACATAAATAGCTCCAACAAAGCCACATACATTCTATGTATACTTTACACTATTTTGAAAGACAATATGCATTGAAAGTACTAAAAAATAGTCTTATTTTTCTATTCTAATAAAATAAAACTTTCAAAAAAAAAAAGTTGGTTACAAGAGTTAACCCTAGTATACAGGTACTTTTAGTGTGGTTACAGAGACCAATATTTTTTTATTAACAGAACCACATATAAACTGAAACCAAATTTGCCTCAAGTTGGATAAGCTAAAAAAAAAGCGTGTGTATGTGGGTGTACACACACATATATATACATACATACATAAGCACATAAATATTTTCAAGTTTGGAACCAACGAGTATTAAAAATAGTAATTTCAAGTCTAGATTACCTGAGCATTATGTCTCTCTGACATTACTACCATCTGTTGCTCTAACTTCTTTATTCGTGACTGGTTTTTCTTCTTAGCCTTCTCAAAAGCTGTCACCAAAGCACTGAAATAAAAGAATTAAAAAAAAATATATATGTATATTTTCAAAAACCTTAAACAACCTCTTTATGTTTGTACGTGTATATAGGAACAAATAAAATTCAGATTTTCATAATTATTACAATTATTTTCATTTGAAAAGGAGAAAGGTTTAATAATAAAACTAATTATTGAGAAAACACTCAACTAGGAACTGCTTTGTGCAGTAAAAAATCTGTATTTTTATTTTTACTTTTATACTAACATTAATATCCATCTCAATGTTTTTATGGAATAATAACTAATGTTTAATGCCAAAAGATCTAGATATAACCAATAAAAAACGAATCAAAGCATGGTCGTTAGGAGGAATCTTGATAACAGCCTAGAATTAACCCTGCATTAGTCTTCCAGGGTCTTTTGTAAACATCAGCGCCGACAGATGGCAGCACGTATGGGTTCTCAGTAGCTTGTTAGATTGTGATAAATTGTTACACTTAGTTTAGGTGGTAAACAAGAAACAAGTTGTAATATTAAATGTCCATTTATTGATTAATAAAGGAAAAGTCTTTGAGTGTTAGTGTTTTTTATTTTAAAAATAATATTTTTTTATTATTATCAAATATTTTTTAATTTATTTTTTATGATGGGGTCCACTCCAACCCAGAAGAGTGACTATGGAAAATTTTTACATAATACTAATGCAGGATTAAAACAATAATTTAATAATTAACATCAATTTAAAATGTTAAAAAAAACAGTTATTATCAAATTCACACTGACTCTTCAATTCTTTTTTTATATATACGAAGGGAAATGAAAATTAAACCTTATCTTAAATAATAAAAAAAACTAAATGTGTAAGAAAACTAGTAATTGAGTGTAGATTGTATAATTATAGTAATCAATACCTTTTTCTGATTTATAAATAGTTCTCTCACAAATAAAACAACCCAGATTTATAGAAAACTTAAAAATAATCAGTGAAGTTGTTTTTCGGTACAAATAATGTTAGACACATATAAGGCTTATTTCACAATTCCCTAGTAATTATATTTTTGGAGGAACGATTTAGAGAATAAACTAGCTAACTGACTAACCTGTTTGCTCTTTTCAGATCATTAACAAAATCAGCCGACTGCTGAGCACGAAGTTCAGAATTTTTAGTCAACCTCTCTAAAGTATTCACTAGCTCCTGTATTCTTGATTTGCATTTGCTTTCTCTTTGAAGTGCCTCTGTCAATTCTTCTGAATCAGATATTCCAACTCCAGGCTTCTGAAACGTTAACAAAACTTACTTAACTACCTTAAATACAACCCAGGCTCTATCACTAACTTACAATTAATTTGAACTAAACATTAACTTAATGAAAAGTACTCTAGTAAACTGTATAATACAGACAATTCTCACACTGAAAACAGACTTTTTAATAACTAAATAACATTATACAAAACTTCGTTCTTGCTAAAAAAAAAAATCACTTGGCTCTCAGAGTTCCAGCATTTTTTACTGATATTAAAAACAGCAGAGCCAATTCATACAATAGTACAAAAGACTTACATATTATTATCCCTTGCATAAGTTTTAAATCAAAGACACAATAACACACTGAATATATTCAGTTTGCTCCTGAAAAAGAAAGGTTCACCTTTCGAAAAGTACTCGAGTTAAAGGGTATTCATTTCTATCAACACTGAATATATTGGTATCTTTTTCTTTACCACACTTGCTAACCTGGGTTGCTCTTAGCTTCTCTACAAGCTGTTCCTGTTCCTTCAGTTCTGTTTTCAGGTGCTCCATGTGCACAAGGTAAGCTTGCTCGTGAGCCTCTCGACTGGACAGCTGCAGTTCAAGTGCTCCTTTTTCTTTCTCAAGCAGATAGACCTGAGCTTTCAGTTCTGCTTTTTCTTCCTATAATATATTAAACATAATTTTTTACACTATAATATTTCTGACAATAGTAGCATCACACTTGGACAATAAACACAATTAATACAGCAAATACCAGCATTAGTTTATTAAAAAAACATGAATACTTAAACGTGATAGATGAAAGATAATATCCAAGGGTCTCACTTATAAAAGTATGTAGTTAACAGTTGCAATATTTAAGATGATGACGAAATATAACAACTAAAAAATTACTGGTTAGTCATTTCACAATGGTCTCCTGCAATCTGGAGGAGCTCAACAGGGAAAGGATATTTGTGCAATAATACATTCCATAAATCTGAGATTTCTTAATGTATCCTCACAAAAACTGGTAAGATTTTGTTAAAGATTGTAAGTATCTTGTACACAAAGAATAACATTATTTTAATTTAAGTCTTTTTACTAAACATATGTTACCTATTTATTGTAATTACTTGCTCTCAGACTCTGAATACTTCGAGTGCAGGGTGATTTTCATTTTAAGTATAAAAAATACTTTTCCTCGTCTTACAGTTTTCAAGTTTTATATGCATGACCTCTAGAACCTCCTAAATGAATATCAAAAGTTTTTTAAGGTAAATGTTTATAGAATATTTTTCATTTTCTCTACCATATTAGTGTAATGAAATGTTCAAAATTAAGAAATAGAAAAATGTACACACCTTTTAATTTTTCATAAAATATCTTAAAAATATCTTCTTTTGGTGATATTTGTAATTTCAGATCCTTTCCTTTTTACATATACTTATTATCTTACACTCGTGCAAGATTGTAAGCCTTGAAAACTGTAGAAATGTTTGAGATAAATTTAAAAAATGTTTAACAATTTCAATTATGCATCTTAAAACATAAATAATATATAATTAACTACGATGTAAAACTAAAAGCTAAATGCAATTTAACTGTCTCTCTAGTTATAACATATTTAGGTAAGAAAACAGCCGTAAATGCTATCGTAGACAAAGTAGCCAAAAATACTACTGGCAGTTACATCAACCTGGTGATGACAACTGAGTGCCAATTTCAAAATAACTGTATTTGGATTATAGTGTAAAATGAGCTCTTTCTAATGATCAAAACCATGTGTGTGAAATAAGTACATGTAGCTTGTAAATCTGAAGGCTATGTATGGAAGGTAGGCGCGGTACCTTTCAGGGGTTGGAAAATTTATCTCTAGTTTCAACCGAATTCAGCCAAAAAATGTTGAAACATGTTTCGGTTTTCTTTAGGATAACCAACATGACGTACACACAGGAGGCAACAATAAAACTAGTATAGGTAATCATGAATAAAGAAACTGGATATTATGAATTTTATAATTATTTTGTTTAAAGGTTTCTAGTATCATTTAATCCTTTTGGAATAGGTATCCCTTTCTATGCAAGTCACTGAATTACATTCACAATTTAATTAAACAACTTTACATCAATGTATGCCAATTAAGTTAGCATTATAATTTATGTTATAAGTTTTATGTTATATAAGTTTAATTCCTTTGTTTCAAAAGAAACCTTTAAAAAATACTTGGACTTCAGTTCTGTTGTCACGTGACCCACAAGCTACGAAAAATCTCTACTTTTGAACTCTGTCTTAAATCAGATAACCCTAGTCCTGTAGATGTATGTCTAGACAATAAGTACATTTACTTGCCCTATTTAAAAATCAGTCAATGTCCCTTGCTGAGTGCATGAACTCTGATGTTCCCAGGAACCTATCTGGGTGCTACTTTTTAATGTATCACCCATTGTTGGCACTAAATTCAAAACCTGCTATTGAGAACTTCTGTTCCTAGCCCTTTTCATGCTTGAAAGGCAGGCTAGCAACAGTGGGCCAATATCCTAATAAAATGGAGCTGCCATTCTTGAGGTGACTGCACAATAGCCAAAAGGATATAAAGATACCCTCCCACCATCAAGAAGCACCTCAGTATCACCAACAGTGCCTTCAAGCCGAATTCTTCACTTGGATCTTGCCATGTGAAGAGCATGCATTTCATCATTGAGCTAATGCCAGTTTCAACTGAGACATTCTAGCTCCATAACAACTCCACAAGCAAGAAAGTGTCTAAAAGTTGTCTCAAGAGAGTTATGGGTTGACAAGTGATAGATAGCCATCACTGAGATAATTGGTCACCATCAGATCTCAGATGTTTCCATGTGGAATAAACATCCAGTGCCACTGGAATCTGATGAAATCAGGAAACGTAGAGATTGAGCAGAGGGTGAAGCAGAAAATGCCTGTCATAAAAACCATAGTTGGCAGTCACCTGTCATCATAGCCACAGACAGTTCCTACATCAGAGACTGAAAGCGAACTGCTTATGCATATATTATCTCACAGAGACACAACATTCCGCATGAAGCTAACGGAGCACTCAAACTTCCTACAAGCACTGCAAAGATGGAGTCGAAAGCCACATAAAGCAAGCTCTTCTCTGGATTGCTGAACCACAAATAGAAAGTGCCATCAACATAGTATTTGATGACTGACTACACAAAATTCAGAGTGGCTGATTCTGAAATGAGTGGTAGAAAACAAAGCAACTGCATGGTATGACCATCACCTAGAAGTATGTGCCAAGTCATGCACAAGAGGAAGCCGACATGTTTGCAAGAGAAGCCTCTATATCAAATCTGTCACTACTCTCCTGGTAGGGTATCAACTAGTAAGGCAAAAATGATAATCATAGAGGTCTTCATTGACATTTAAAGGGAATAGGACTACTAGAAAACAAAATACTGTATAGTGTAAGTAGGAAAAGTAAAAAATAAGCAATAGATGGGGCAGTATAAAGCCAGAAGAAGTTCTCTTTTACTTCCAACACAAACCCTAGGATATGCACCTTGTAATCAAGCCAACTAAAAAAATAAATACCTTGATTGCCATGAGCTCCTGCATCAAAACAGCATTCTCAAGGTCAAATTTTTGAGAATCCAGTACGTTTGAGGGTTCATGGCAAATGGAATCAATATGAATACTTTCTAGTTCTAAAACTGTAGTCTTGAGTGCAGAACGCTCGGTCTTAAGCTGTTGGATGTAGTCTCGCAGTCTTTGTTCATCGACTTTTGTGAGCTCCCCATCATAACCACTGGAAGTAGAACTGGTAGTGCTGAGAAAAGAAAAAAAGAACTCTTTAATCAATAGTTTCTGATATGCATTTATACACGAGATAGTGGATCACATTTAGTATATTGCACGAGATACGTTGAAAAAAAAACAGGTTAAGATATGAGAACAATCTAAAAATAAACAAGTAAACCTTATTAAATATATAAACAAACATTAAACACTTAAGAGGACTATATTAATTTTTACTTCAAAACTTTAGTAAATAGTTCTATTTGGTGGTGTTTCTTTATATAGTTATATTCAGGTAAGGTAAAATTAAAAAAAAGTATGCTATCTCGTAGGTGGATACCATAATTTTTCACGGGTTATAACTAAGTATTACATGATCACAAGGTTCTAATTACATAATATATTTCCAATACATACCTCATAGTATGACTGTGTGATGATACATCTTCCCAAGGAGTAATGTTAAAGCCAGATGCACCAAAGGCAACCCCATAACTTCGGTCCACCTTCTGGATAAAGTTTCGAGCAACGTTTTCTGCCGATCTTCGATTATCGCTAGCCCTTTTAAGGAGAGCTGTCACTTCACCTTCATTACCATCACTCAATCCTTTCACTAGCAAGCAAAAGTGGAATTTAATTTTAGTATTTTTTTTGCAAAATGTGATAAACCTACTGAACAAAACTACTGATCACTGCACAATAAAATAAATTTTTGAATCTATGTTTACATCCAGAATTCAATCCTGAACAGAAATTATCTTTTACTTACTTACTTTTACACATTAAAATACATTTGAATAATATATGTATATATTACTTTTAATTTCAAGACTGCATTTTTCTATAGTCTATATTCTATTTGTGTATGCTCCACTAATTTGTGGTAAAAATTAGTTTGCAATTCCAGCTTTCTGATATAAATGTGTAGGGAAACAAACCTGTAACTAGCAACCAATTGTCCAAAACACTGTGAATAAATATATACAAAAACTTGTATTCAAAATTTTTTTTTTCAACTAAACTAATAAAAAAAAGAAATATGTGGTATCTTAATACTAAACTGAATATATCCACATTTTTGGAACCAATGCAAAGGTATAGAATTACTATAAAATAATATGCCAATATTTAAATAAATTAGTATTTGTTGGCTGTTGCTGACACTTGTGTTACAACTTTTTTTACTCACAGATCCCTAAATTGACTTTCATCATCTTTTCAATCCATGTACTACACCTACGTTGTACTACAAAGATTCAGTATATTATATTAAAAACAATCTTGGTGCTTCACCATATTGTTACAGTCCATGTTGCTGTTTCTGGTCATACTCTATCTGACATTTGTGCATCTTGACAATAACCCTGCAGTGCATCATTCCTCCTTACTTGCTTTCTATAATTCTTCTAGTGTATGAGAATAATGGTTTCCCAGTACCAATTCCAATAATCTGATCACACAAATCCATTGGAGTCATGTCTAGTGGCTAGCATGAATACCTATTTCTTTCTCCAACTGCTTAAGGTATGTGATAATTGAATGGGAGATATGACTGAGAGCTTTACGTTAGTGAACCCGTACCTTGTTTGCTTTCTATAACCCATCTATTATATAAGGAAGACAGTTTCCCGGTGCTCATTTCAACATTCTTATCACACAAGAATCCATAGGAGACACAACTCGGAGCCTTATCATGGCAAACTCATTCCCTGTTGGCCTCATTTCTGTACAAAACCAGTATTTATGTGTGGAACAAAGGGTCCAGAACACTGATCTGAAAGGAAACGGAGCGCACCTTGACCTTTCTGCACACTCTAAATTGTACCCTAGCAATGGTCATGAATTCCTTATAAAAAAGCTTTTAACATGCCATTCAGCACTTTTAGAAATTTTTTCACATACTGACAGGTAGAAAATGGCACAAGACTCGTTACAGTTATCAAGGTACTCATAAGCTTCACTGAGTGTCACCACATACTGCCATTACTCTCCAGCTAGGTACCGTCCCATACAGTTTTCTACAGTTGGTCTTCCTCCTGAATACAACATGGAAGCAACTCATGTACACCGTGACTTGAGAACCTTCTTGATTATGTTACATACTATTGGCTGGGACTAGTGGATCACTCTTCATACTGATCTCTGTTTAAAGAATTCTCACTTGTTACAAGACACATCCCATAGCTGGGGTAACAGTCTGTTGCAGTTTTCTTTCTGTCTTTCTGACATGAATACATCTTTTTGATCTGAGTGCACGAATATTTTGTGTCAGATAGGCTGTTAAATACTCCTCTCATAAGCAATCAATTTTTGTTGAATCACACTACCAAAGACGCACTAAACAAAGTTAGAATGGAGTTTTGATACATGACGTTCCACTGAAACTTTATATTGGCTGTGGTTGTCGCATGTCTTGCTGATTTGCATATTCAAAATTATTTTAGCATAACATATTCAACCTGTTATACCTAAAACTGACCAGGGGTACAGATATCAACAGTTTGGAATCAGTGTACCAGAACATGAACAGTCATAATTTTATTGTGTTAATATAAACTTCTTGCTTAATCAAAACTTAAACTTAATACCAAGTGAAGGATAAATAAGTCATGTGTTTACATAATGCTTGAGACTTTCATTAACACCAAAGATTTGCAAAATTTGTAACTGTACCTTTGTTTTGATACAATGTATGTTTGCCTTGTACTTTTCTTTTTTTGTACTAAAAACGTATTTGTACTTAGTAATGAGAAGAAAATGAAAATAACTTCTGATTATTAAAGCAAAATGTTTTATTGTAACAAATAAAAACTCGATGTGTTCGAAGGAAAACGAAGTTTGATTATAAACAAGATTACACACTTATGATATACAACATTGTTTATTGACAAAAAGGGGACATGGATAAAACGTTTTGGAATTCTATTAGATTCCATCTTCAGTATCTAAAGTAGAATAAAATGAATTTACATCAGTCTTTATACATTGTCAAAGTACAGTTGCTAAAATATAACGATAATTAAACAAATAAACACTAAACAGTAATCATGGGGAGAAACTACAGCAAGAAAACACAACGAAAATACAGAGTAATTATTGATCAAACGAAACCCTCACATACAAACAGACACTCTCCAACACT